GAACTTTGCATGTTACCTTAGAAATAGAATCACCTTCACTGTTAGGGCATGTAATTGTTAAATAATTAATTGGGGCCTAAGGTTGACAAACTAGTCAAACAACTTATTACACCTGATTATGTCATCAGAAATTTTTTTAAAGCAGCAAAATGCGACAAAGCCAATGAAATTAGGTACAGTACTTTAAAATTAAAATCAATTCTCAAAATATGGCTTCTTTATTCTATACCACCTATGACTCCCAAAAGACATTTAACAAACCAAACATTTAAATATTCTGTGACTCTGACAACTAGCACTATGTCTGACATTCATTCAACGTTAAATAGATGCCCAATGAGTGAATGAATGAATGATGATAATTAAACTCCTTAAGACAAGGATAATAGAACTCACTTCATCTTGTTATATGAAAGCTTTTTAAATAGTAGCAATTATTATTATACTTATAATATACTAATTTACTAATACTTAGTAAAAAGTAGAGATTATACAATCATCTAGAATAGGGAAACTCTCAAATCCCAAGTTTATCAAAAATATAAAACTGACTTTCCCATAGATATTCACTTCAAAGTAAAAATATATTTATATAATGTCCCAATAATTAAAACTTTACATCATCCCTTTTTTATTTAATTATGTTTCTAAAGTTAATTATGGCAATCTGCAAGTGACTTTTAAACATAATCTCATACCTCTATTTTAGTTCTGCATTGGCAAATGTAAATCTCCTTTTTTTTTAAAAATGTCCATTTAAGTGTCTCTTAAGTAATCTAAATATCTTATAACAATCACAGACACAGAAAATTCAAACATTGTTAAGATTAAGAAACTGCATGGATTTTCTGACTCTCCTCCCTCTTCTAACACTAGGTTTTTCTTTCTTGCTAGCTCCAAAACTTAGGTCAAAATCTTCATCCAAGCAGTCATTTTTATCAAAAACCTTTACTCAACTATGTCAACATTATATAATTGAGAGACATAATGTATGATCAGATATGTAGAAATACATAAAAATAAAATAATAGCCTGGACCAGTTTGGCTCAGTGGATAGAGCGTCAGCCTGCAGACTGAAGGGTCCCGGGTTTGATTCCGGTCAAGGGCATGTACCTTGGTTGCGGGCACATCTCCAGTGGGGGGTGTGCAAGGGGCAGCTGGTAGATGTTTCTCTCTCATCAATGTTTCTAACTCTCTGTCCCTCTCAATTCCTCTCTGTGTAAAATCAATAAAATATATTTTAAAATTTTTTAAAAAGAATAAAATAATAATATAATTTCATTGTTTCAACTGAAAAAAAAGAATAGAAACATGAAACCCAAAAGATATAGAACAGTAGTCCAAACTCAAGTAATATATATATATATATGACATACTCTGTACATAACTGGCCATGTTACCCTGTGCATGGTGTTGAAAAACACTGATTTAATAATGACTTTTAGTTTGAATTCTAGGTTTTAGCCCCACAAATTGTCTCTATATTGTGTTTGAGTTCAATTTAAAAATAATTTGACATTTTAATTTCCTGTATAATGTATTTAACTTTTAGATAAAATAGAAAATATGGTGATAGTAACATATAATAAAAGAGGACCATTAAAATTACTTGAAATAAAACATCTTGAACTTTTTCTTTAAAATAAAGCTCCAGATTACTTTACTGAGACAAAAGGACATTATGATTCATTGTATAATATATGTTCCCTCAGGAAACACCAAATATTGAATGGGTCAAAGCTCCTCAGAAATTTAAAAAAAAAAAAAAACTGTGGAAAAAGATTGCCAAATTGGCAACACTTATCTTTGTTTAAAGAGCATCAACCTAAAAGTTTGTATCTTCCAACTCGCCTTTCCTTATTATCACTAGAAATCCATTGCAGCATATATAAGAGCTGAGATTTATTATTCTTTCTCACCTTCACCTGTCATCTTTGGAAGGTAACTGGCTGGAGACATTCTGATCAGCAGACTACTCAGCCCTGAAGAGGATCCTCACACAAAGATAGGTACATGGAAATATAAACTGAAGCGTTTTTACTTTAAATACTAATTCTCTGAGACTTTCCTTTTATTTTTTATTTTTATTGGAGTGATAATGATTAACATAATTATATAGGTTTCAGGTATATAATTCTATAATACAACATCTATATATTGTATTGTATGTTCACCACTCAAAGTCAAGTCTCCTTTTGTCACCATTCATCCCCCATTTACCTTCTTCTTCCTTGTTTCACCCCTCTTTCTCTCTGGTAATCATTATACTGCTATCGTGTCTATACATTGTTGTGTTTTGTTGTTGTTGTTGTTGTTGTTATTGATTTTTGCTTAGCCCTTCACCTTTTTAAGCCAGTCCCACAATGTCTCTCTCCTTTAACACCTATCAGTCTGTTCTCTGTTCTCTGTATCTCTGAGCCTGTTCCTATTTTGTTTCTTATTTTGTTCATTAGGTTACATAGAGCGTGAAATCATTTGGTATTTGTCTTTCTCTGACTGGTTTATTTCACTTAACACAATATTCTAGTTCCATTCATGCTGTTGCAAAAAATAAGATGCCCTTCTTTCTTACAGCCGAGTAGTATTCCATTGTGCCAATGTACCACAGCTTTCTGATCCATTCATCTACTGAAGGCACTTTGACTCACTCCAAATCTTGACAATGAGCATAGGGGTACTCATTTTTTGGGTTTTACAGATATTGACCCAGAAGTGGACCTGTGGGGTCATTGGCAGTTCCATTTTTTATTTTTTGAGGAAACACAAAACTATTTTCCACTGTGGCTGCACCAGTCTACATTTTCACTATCAGTCCTGGCCACATTTTGGCTAACACGTATCATTTGTTGATTTATTGATGATAACTATTCTGACAGGTGTAAAGTGAGGTATCTGATTGAGATTTTAATTTGAATTTATCTGATGATTAGTGACACTGAGCACCTTTTCATGTCTATTGGCCCTTCCTGTGTCCTCTTTGGAGAAGGGCCTCTGTACATTTTTAATTGGATTATTTTCTTGGTTTTGAGTTGTATATATAGGTTCTTAATAAATTTAGGATAATAACTCATCAGATGTATCATTGATGAGTATGTTTTCACATTCAGTGGAGTGTTTTTTCATTTTGTTGATGATTTCCTTTGCTGTGAAAAATCTTTTTTGGTAGATGTAGTCCCATTTGCTTATTTTTTCTTTTGTTTCCTAAGGAGATACATCAGAAAAATATTGCTATGAGAAATGTTAAAGGTCTTACTGCCTACATTTTCTTCTATGATTTTATCGTTTTGTATCTTATTTTAAATCTTTAATCTATTTTTAGTTTAGTCAACTGTATAGTATAAGAAAGTGGTCTAATACATTTTTGCACATTTCTGTCTAATTTTTCCAACAAAATGTATTGAACTAGACTGTTTACCTCATTGTATGCTCTTGCCTCCTTTGTCAAATATTAATTGACTCTAAAGACATGGGTTTATTTCTGGACTCTCTATTCTATTCCATTGATTTATATGTTTTTATGCCAGTACCATGCTGCTTTGTTGTGTAAGGGCATGTGCAGGGGGCATCCAATTGATGTGTCTCTCCCACATTAATGTCATTTCTCTCTCTTTCTCTCTCTCTCTCTCCTGCCCTTCCATTCTCTTTAAAAATCAATGCAAAATATCTTTGGATGAGGTTTACCAAAAAATGGGCAGGGGGTGGGATGGAATATACTATAAAATCAAAGCCAATTGAGAGTATAAGATTTAAGCATCTCTCTTTTCTCTGCCCTGGTCTTTGATGTATATTATATGGATTTTTTGAAATAGTTTTAGACCACTTATAAAATAAAATAACTTAGTAGAATGTTGTTAAAACTAGGACATATATTATGTGATAATTTTTCTTCAAACTACAGTTGACCCTTCAACAATGCAGGGGTTAGGGGTATTGATCCTCCACAGTTATAATTTGTGAGTATAACTTTGACTCACAAGTTGTGTTCAGAATCCACAAGGAGAATTGGTTTCAGGACCCCCGTGGATACCAAAATCTGTGGGTGCTTAAATCCCTTATTAGTAATAGTGTAGAACAATGTATAAAGTTAGCCTACAATGCCGAAACCAGTTTGGCTCAGTGGATAGTGTCGGTCTGCGGACTAAAAGGTCCCAGGTTTGATTCTGGTCAAGGGCATGTACATTGGTTGTGGCACATCCCTGGCAGGGGGTGTGCAGGAGGCAGCTGGTTGATGTTTCTCTCTCATCAACGTTTCTAGCTCTCTATCCCTCTTCCTTCCTCTCTGTGAAAATCAATACAATATTTTAAAAAATAAAATAAAATAAAGTTGGCTCACTGTACCCACAGAGGAGAGGATCAAAAATACTTTTAAATCTGCAGTTGATTGACTCTTGGAAACCTGGGGATATGGAGGGCCTACTGTGTAATTACTGGAAAAAAATGATATAGAAATGGACACACAATTCAAACCTGTTTTGTTCAAGTGTCAACTGTCCTTTGAAATGGATACATTTTAATTTGAACATCTTAATATTTTATAATAATGGCTACATTGATTTATAGATTTATGCAAATTTGTATTTGATATATTAATCTTATAACTAAATCATATGTCTTAAATTTTATTTTGGGGACATCTCAATAATAAAAAAGGCAGGGGAATCAACTTACTAGATATAATAGTTACTTCTGTAAGTAAAAACCTACTCATAAAACTTCTATCATATAAAACATATTATGAACAAATCTTTGCCATTATACATTATTTCCAGTGTTAGTTTCCAAGTCAAAAGTGAAAACTAGTTCCATTATATCATAGTTATATGTAGTAAGACTAATATTATTTCTCCATTGTAATATTGATTCCAAAATAAAGTTAGACCATTTCTTAAAATGGTACAGTACTATTCCTGCACTAATAGCTGTTAGTGGTCAGGACACTTTTTGTAAAAAAAGGAATATTAACCAACCATTGTACTTATTTTCAGGAGTAACCGTAAGGATGAAACCACTGTGTGTCATCTTGGGCCTTTTGGCCCTTGAAGCCTGTTTCTTGGTAAGTCTCATTAATCACATCATCTTTTTCTCATGACTAGTCACATTTTTCACATTAGTATTAGTAGCTATCAATCATTGATGAAATACTGGTCTACTGCTGTAATTTTAATTAAAATTATAAATCTAGCCCTAGCCAGTTTGGCTCAGTGGATAGAGCATCAGACTGTGGACTGAAGAGCCCCAGGTTTGATTCTGGTCAAGGGCACATGCCCAGATTGCAGGCTCAATCCCCAGTGGGGGCCATGCATGAGGCAACCAATCAATGATTCTCTCTCATAATTGATGTTTCTAATCTCTCTCTCCCTCTTCCTTCTTCTCTGAAATAAATAAAAGTATATTAAAAAAACAAATTATAAATCTAATTTAAATTGCCACATATGGCTCATGGCTTGCATGTTTGACTGTTAAAATCTATAATATCAGACTGCATTATACAAACATGTATAAATGTGGGTACCCATACATTAGCAATTTCACAAGTAGGTTAAACAAATTTATTGTACATTTTTTATCCAGTGTACTAAATGACACTTTTTTAAATATATTTGAACATGTTCTTTAATTTTTTAAATATTTTAATTTATTTCAAGAGGCAGGGAGAGAGAGAAAGAAACATCAACAATCAGAGAGAATCATTGATCCGCTGCCTCCTACACACCCCCTATTGGGGATCGAGCCTGCAACACAGGCATGTTGGCCGGAATCAAATCTGGGACCCTTTGGTCCACAGGCTGACGCTCTATCCACTGAGCCAAACCAACTAGGGCATGTTCCTTAATTTTATTAGGACTGTTCTTCATCTATATATGGGATAGTTAAAATAGAACAATTTCTTATCAATATAGGATTCAGGGATAATTGATATCTAAAAAACCTGATTCACTTATTAAAAATAGAGTAAGACTCTCTAGCTGATTTGGCTCAGAGAATATAGAGCATTGGCCCTTGGACTGAAGGCCCAGGTTCAATTCCAGTCCTGAGCACCTATCTGGGTTGCAGGCTAGATGCCCAGCCCTGGTCGGGGCACATGCGGGAGGCAACCAATCCATGTGTCTCTCTCACATGATGTTTCTCTCTGTCTCACTCCCTCCTTTCCACTTCCACTCTCTCTCTAAAAATCAATAAAAATATTCTTGAGTGAGAATTTATATATATATATATATGCCAAACCTCATCCCAGAACAAATGAGTGTTTGAGAGTAGGACCTGGTAATATTTTACCAAGGACTCAGGCAATTTTTTTTCTGATTTTATTTTATTTTTTAATCAATCTTTATTGTTCATATTGTTACAAAGGTTCCTCATTTCTTCCCCCCTCCACCAGGTTCCCACCCCACCCTCTGCCCCCTCCCCATCCCCATTGTCCTCATCCATAGGTGCACAGTTTATGTTCAGTCTCTTCCTCGCTCCCTTTCCCCGATAGTAAATCCCTTTTCAGATAGTAAATCAGTTACTTAGCATTTTCTCATATCAATAATACCTCCACATGCCCAATGATACACTTCACACAAAAGACATTTCCCAATAGGTCCACCAGCCTCATCCAGGCCCCACCCAAGGCACTCACAGATCAACAGTCCTAAACTAACTCAACACATCCAGATCTAAGCCTTCATCACTTGATTCAGCAGACCCTCAAGTTCCTGCAAAAGTTTCCAGCCATGTCTGAGAGGCAGCCGTGGGGCAAGGGCAGGCGAGGAGCGAGCTGTTCCGGGCCTGGCTGCTCCAGGCCTGGCCTCTGTTGCTCTGGTTCGTTCCACAACCAGCTGCTCTGAGTCTGGTCACTGCCGCTCCTGACCTAGTTGCTCTGGAATTGGCTGCTGCTGCTTTGGGCCTGGCCGCTCCCATCCTGGCAGCCGCTGCTCTGGGCCCGGCCGCTCCAGGCCTGGCCACTCCCAGCCTGGCAGCCGCTGCTCCGAGCCTGGCTGCACCACACCCGGCCGCTCCAGGCCTGGCCGCTCCCAGCCTGGCAGCCGCTGCTCCGGGCCTGGCCGCACCAGACCCGGCTGCTCCGGGCCTGGCCGCTCACAGCCTGGCAGCCGCCGCTCAGGGCCTGACTGCACCAGACCTGGCTGCTCCGGGCCTGGCCGCTCCCAGCCCGGCAGCTGCTGCTCCGGGCCTGGCCGCACCTGACCCAGCTGCTCTGAGCCCGGCTGCCCTGGGCCCGGCCGCTCCAAACCTGGCCGCTCCCGGCCTGGATGCTCTGGGCTTGGCTACTGCTGTTCTGGGTCTGGCTGCTCCCTACCTGGCGGCTCTGGGCCCCGCTTCTCAGGGCCCAGCCACTCCAGGTCTGGGTGTTTCTGGACTGGCCACCCTGGGCTTGGCCGCCTCCGCCTCAGGCCTGGCTGCCACTGCCCCAGGTCTGGCTGCTCCAGTGCTGGCTGTTGATGCTCTGGTTCTGGCTGCTGCTGCTCTGGGGCCTGGCCGTTGCTGCTCCAGACCCGGCTGCCACTGCCTTGTGCCTGGCCACTCCAGGCCTGGCCACCGCTGTTCCAACATTCTGTCCTTTTTTTTCTTTTTTCTTTTTTAAAAGCATTTATGTTGCAATGTTGGCTGGTGAGTTGAGTTCTGACTTAGTCTTTGATTTTTCAAGATCTTCTTTGTATTTTTTCTTAAGTAATTTTACTATCTTTTGCTCTCACTTGATTTCTTCACATTGAGAAATTCTTTGGTTTCTTCCTCCTTGTCCTGGGAGCTCAGCAGGTTGGCCTGTGGCACCCCTTTGTTCTCTGCAGGCTCCTGCGCTGCTTCAGCCTGCTGCCAGGGTCAGCGCCACCCAGGAAGCAGTCCCTGGCCTTGGCTCCGTTGCCCGAGCTCAGCGGTCGAAGGCTCAGGGGCACCCCCCCCTTCCGGGGGCCCCGTCGCCGGGCTCCTTGCTGGTGCCCGGTTGGCCAGTGTCAGGCAGGGGCTCCCGCTCCCCGCCGCGTTCCCCCAGCCTGGAGTTTTTTTTCTCCTTCCCGCTAGGGGAGTCTAGCATCAGAGTCAACAGACTGTCCTCTGCACGCAGTGTGCGTGACTCCGGGGGCTCGGCCTTTCGCCTCTCTCCCAGAACTCCACCTCACAGCCCCGTCTCCCTCTGCCTGAGCTTGGGTCCCCAGGGATTGGCCTAGAGCTGGGGTTCGGAGCAGTCCAGACTGAGGCTCAGCGCCGCTGGAGGCTTTGTTTCTTCCAGCTAGGGTAACCCAGCCTCAGAGTCAACATTCCGTCCTCTGCACACAATATGCGCGTGACTCCGGGGGCCCTGCTTTTCGCTGCTCCCCTGGGATTCTGCCTCACAGCCCTGTCTCCCCTGCCAGAGCCTGGGTCCCCAGGGTCTGGCCCATAACTGGAGCTCAGCGCTGCCGATTCGGGGGTTCAGTCCAGGCTGGGGGTTTTATTTTCTTCCTGCTAGGGAACGCCAGGCAGCACCCAGCCCTCTCCTCCTCTCCAGCTGCGACCTCTCTGCTTGCGCGTGCGGGCGGGCGCGCAGCATGTCTCCGTACCTTAGGCTTTTTTTCAGCTCCTCTGATTTTCCTTCTGGTTTTCTCTTTCCTTCTTGTTGTAGAATTTCCAGTCAGTCGACTACCTGTAGCTCTGGGCAATGTTCACTCTACATTTTAGTTGTATTCCATTGAAATTGTTGTGTGCTGCCACGGTTAGATGTCTACCCGGGCAGCCATCTTGGATCCTCAAAAACAACTTGGGCAATTTTTTATAAAATATAAACATTTTTATCAATCAACACCTTCTGGGTATATAGGACTGCATTAAGTACCATGGACACTTTTACCTATTTAAAGTTTCAAAGGATTTTTTTTAAAAAACCCACAAGTTTTTGTATTTTAAGTAATGGAATAATAATTCATTTCAAGTAGTGATAGATTAATTCCAATTTGGAAAAAGGAGATTAATTCCAGAGTAATTTTTACCAAAGAACTAAAAAATATATCAAGTGAAAAAGATAAAAACCTTTTCAGAAGAGACTAGGACTTACACAAAATAGGCAACATAAAGCTATTTCATTCTGAAACATAAAATCATTCTTCTATCTACTCTCTAAAACTTGAACAAAAGGAGGCCATTCCCTATGTCTCTCAAGCAGCCAGGCCTTGGCCATATTACTATATACATTAGAGATGTGATATGATTTTTGATACACCCATAAAACATATTGACATGTTTCAAAGATCATATTTTATCTTACTGATCTGACCTTAAAGCTGATATTCAACATTTCTATGTCCAGACTATAAGAGAAAAACACTTTCTTATTTTAAAGCATCAGGTATTGATTACCTGAAAATGATTTTTTTTTGCAAAATAAATTTAAGAATTCCAATAATATAAGCAGCTTAACATAAGCAGTTTAAGTAGAAATAGCCTTTTTCCTAACTTTATTATATGAGATTCATGATGATTAATTGTTAATAATATGGGCAGGTAAGTAGTACTATTGATCCAGTCATCTTTTGAGTGTTTATTCTGTTATGGGTAATTTTCTGACTGCTTTCCAGCAATATTACAATTAATCCTCAAAGAAAGCCTAAGTATTCATATCTTGGCTGGGTTATTTCTAAACCAAGTGATTCAGGAGATTAGCTCCAAGTATACCCCACTGAGAAGATAATTTTTATTTCTAACACAGCATTTTCATTATTTTTACCAAGTTGATTACCACTGTCCAGTTGCAGAAAGGATGTTAATGAATCATTTTCGCTGGGTTAAGAGATTAGAAAAACAACAAATGTTTACTATGAAGATTTTTTTCAATAGACATAATTTTTAGATCAGTATCAGGCTGCCCTTAGGAGACAGACAACTTTTAGTGAATTCATTGTCTCAACATGAAAAAAAAAAAAGTGAAATATTTCCCTACTCTGTAGATTTATCTTCCAATTAAAAATCAAGTCCTAAAAAAAAAAAAAAAGAAAGAAAGAAAAAAATCAAGTCCGGAACTTTTCAAACGCCTTGGCCTAGCCTTTGGATTGTCAGCCCTTGGGTCAAATGCCCTCCATAATTCCATAAGCTAGCACTAGCTAGAGAGCGCCAACTTGAGGACTAGTTCCATAGCTGTGCCTTGGCATATTTAGTTTCATTGTGACACAGACAAAAAAAGTGTTTTACTGGCATCCTGGGAGCAGAAGCCAGGTGACTAGTGACTAGCATATGAGCAGTGGCGTTCACTCAGCAAACCTTCATAGAGCTTTGCTGAAAGGAAAGAGGTGAAGGGAAGGGTGATAACAAGGAAATGCATGGTTGAAAGCAGACTTGTTTAAAGGTATAACGTAGGTGACAGCTATTATTCTGAGGAAACAAAGCCAGTTAAAAGGCACATGTTGAAGTTCAGGAATAAAAAAGGAAAAGCTGACAGAGCCCTGAGAAAATGCCTGCAAGAAAAAAAAAAAAAAATAGCCCAGATAGCTATGACTTGACAGTATGTGGCCAGTAAAACGGTAAAGTTCATTTCGAATTGCCTGCATTACTTGGTGGATGAGGCCTAAAGAAGAGGTAGAGAGCTTTATTGCGATTGGCATCAACTTGGGAAATTATAGGACATGCGGTGACATAATTTGAAGGCACTTGAGAAAAATGCAGGGAAGTGCTGAAGGACCAGGTTTTTGTCAGGGGTCAGGGCTTTTGACATCTGCCACCACTGGTTAAAGACCTGTAACTAGGAATAAAGAAAAGGGATGATTTAGGCCGGGGGACCATACAGTTTGGAATTGGCAATGTCAGAAAACACGTGAAAGATCTGAGGACAAGAAGGGAAGGCAGCCAAAACCGGTTTGGCTCAGTGGATAGAGCATCAGCCTGGGGACTGAAAGGTCCCAGGTTCGATTCAGGTCACGGGCATGCATCTGGGTTCAGGGCACATCCCCAGTAGGGGGTGTGCAAGAGGCAGCTGATTGATGTTTCTCTTTCATTGATGTTTCTAACTCTATATTCCTCTCCCTTTCTCACTGTAAAAAATCAATAAAATATATTTTTAAAAAAGAATAAGGGAAGGCAGTTGTAGGTCCTATATGAACCCACTGGAGATGAGGACTTGTGCTTTCCTACCCTGGAGCACTTAAATACTTCCCTTCCATTTGACATGCCCTCTCCCCAGTTTATAATATCTAATCCTCCCTTCAAAGGCTGCCTCCTCTGTGAGACTATCTTTCCTCTCCCCAACACTAATAACTTTAATTCTCCAATGTATTTGTTTCCTGCACTATTTTTTAACTATTTTTATTTCCAAAAATGGCAACCACTCTCCTAGATGTTAACATAACGAAACGTTTAGTGAGCACTGTACCTGAGCCAAGCACCCCCTAAGCACTCTACTGGTAACGTTTCACAAATCTGACAATGACCCTTGGACATGGGCACTTTTAAGAACATCATTTTCCAGATGAGGTAAGAAAGCATCTCAAAAAGGATTTCACATTCACACAACCTCTACATAACGGAGGCAGGAAATTATAAAGACTATCATTCTATCTCCTGTTAGGTAATTTTTGGACCTTCTAGTATTGTGGCTACTTGATCTGCAGACTCACAGTTGGCACTCCCATAGCTCCTACTTCAGCATATTTCACAAAGTAGGTGCTCAATAGTATGCTTGATAATTAAGTCTTCAAGCAGTTGAACAATCCTGAACTCTTAATGAGATATAAGAGACATTTTCCCCATTTGAAATTGATTGCCGAGACAAGCTATACTATAAGCAAAGGTTATGATTTCTGATTGGTGTTCTGGGATTCTTAGGATATATTCCTAGAAAAGGGATCACTGGGTCAAACAGCAGTTTCATTTTTAATTTTTATAGGAAACCTTATACTGTCTTCCACTGTAGCTGCGCCAGTCTGCATTCCCATCAATAGGCACCAGGGCTTCCTTTTCTCCACATCTTCACCAGAATTTGTTTGTTGATTTATTGACGGTAGCTATTCTGACAGGTGAGGGTTGATAGCTCATTGTGATTTTAATTTTCATTTTTCTGATGATCAGTGACTTTGAGTGTCTTTTGGCATTCTGTATGAAAAAAGAAGAATATCTTACCCTTTGAATCAACATGGAAGGACCTGGCGAGTATTATGCTAAGCAAAATAAGCCAATCAGAGAAAAGATGGCACTCCTATGTGGAATCTAATGAACAAAATAACTGACAAACAAAATAGATTCAGAGACATTGAAGCATGCAGACAGACAGGAATTTCAGAGGGAAGGCGGGAGAGGCTGTGGAAAAGAGGCTGTGGAAGTATGTTCTTTGCATATATACCCAAAGAACATATATGCATAACCAATGGGTATAGACAATATGCAGTGAAGGCATTGGAGGAAGAGAGAGAGAGAGCAGGGTCAAGAGAAGGGGGCCACTAAGGGAAAAAGGAGACATCTGTAATACTTTCAAAAATATAATTTTTAAAAAATAAAATAAAAACATCATCCCAATAAAAAAATAAATTTAAAAAAAGGATATAATTTTACCAACAATCTTTTTTTAAATATATTTTATTGATTTTCTTACAGAGAGGAAGGGAGAGAGATAGAGAGCTAGAAATGTCGATGAGAGAGAAACATCGACCAGCTGCCTCCTGCACACCCCCCTACCGGGGATGTGCCCGCAACCAATGTACATGCCCTTGACCGGAATCGAACCTGGGACCCTTCAGTCTGCAGACCGATGTTCCATCACTGAGCCAAACCAGTTTTGGCACCAACAATCTTTTTTTTCCATTCAATATTATCTCAGCTTTCATTGAAAGCCTAGGCCCGTGGTTGGCAAACTGCGGGTCAAGAGCCACATGCGGCTCTTTGGCCCCTTGAGTGTGGCTCTTCCACAAAATAGATTGGCCTGGGCGAATCTATTTTGAGGAAGTGGTGTTAGAAGAAATTTAAGTTTAAAAAAATTGGCTCTCAAAAAAAATTTCAATCATTGTACCATTGATATTTGGCTCTGTTGACTAATGAGTTTGCTGACCACTGGCCTAGGCATTCATAGGGAAAAGAAAGAAAAAAAATTCTCTCTGCTCTGATATTGTCTTTCAGACTGTTACTTAGTGGCATAATAGTTTTCTCTTGGTGCATAACAAATTTCTACTAATCAGTTTTAAAAATCCATTTTTTTTTTATTTCACTGATTCTTTGGTAAAATTCTGGCCTTGGCTTAATTGTATTTTCTGCTCAGAACCTGGCGAGGCTGAAAGAGCGTTGCCAAGGACCGTGTTCCTTTCTGGAACCCAGGATCCTCTCTCAAATTTGCATGATTTTTGGCAGAATTGGGTCCCTTGTTTGGGGGGACTGAGGTCCTTATTTCTCGCTGCCTAGTCACCAGGTGATATCCCTACCTCCTTCTACCCATCGACCATTTATTTCCATGTGGTCCTTTCCCCAACATGGGAACAGCGTTTGCTGTAGCTACAAATCTTACTGATTTCTGTCTCTGACTTATAGAATCTATTTTAAAAGGCTCGCCTGATATGGTTAGACGAGGATGTGCCAGCGGGAAACAGGAATCTTGGGAGCCATCTTAGCACGCTTCCTGACACAGAGAGTATAAATTCCTATGCTTGACATTAAAATGTTTAATTCCAAATTGTTTACTTCTTTTTCCCCACAGCCCGGTGAGAGTCATAGAGGGCCCCGAGGACCATATCCACCATATCCGCAGATGCCGCCTCCTTATCCTCCACAACCTTTCGACCCAAGATTTGGTCCACCACCTCCTCCCCCTCCTCCCCCTTTTGGCCCCGGGAGAATTCCACCACCTCCCCCTTTTGGCCCAATGGGAATTCCACCACCTCCTCCTCCTCCCCCTTTTGGCCCAGGGAGAATGCCACCTCCTCCTCCTCCCCCTTTTGGCCCAGGGGGCATTCCTCCACCTCCACCTTATGACCCACGGTATCCATATCCACCTTTCCAACCAAATCCATATGTACCCGGACCTGCAGTGAACCCTGGATACCCTCCAGTATATCCTTCCTACGTTACCCCTGCATCTGAAATACAATCTACTACAACAAGCACCACTACAACCAAAGAAAACCCCACCACCACCACCACCACCACCACCAAAACAGACTCCACCAGCTCTACAACTACTACTCCTACTACCAAAGCTGAAACTACTTCCAAGCGATTTCTTGATAAAGTCGCAGGCATTTGGGGATAAGGATGAGATTTCCTATAGCTCTGAGCTGTGGAGAGAAATGATCTTAGAAAGAAACCAAAACAACCCCACAAACATTAGGCAAACAACTTGAAAATAAAGAGTTGAGCAATAAATGTGAAATTGTCAGTGTTGTGATGAGAGCCATCCGATTGTCCCCCGGAATGCCACCTAAATGAAGAGTAATGCTGCCAGAAACCTAGCCTTGTGCTGTGAGGCCAAAGACGTAATTATGGAAAATAAGTGAGGCACCTGAACTTGAGTGCCCTCTTGAGTACCACAATCCATCATACAATTACAAAACATGAAATAACATTTTAGTTCATAATAAAATTAAGCTCTCCCCACAATATGTTCTCTGAAAAATTCTTGAGGACTGCATGATCATTACTTATAAACAAGAGGCCCGGTGCATGAAAACCATACACTGGGGGGATGTCCAACAGCTGGTCATCCCTCTCACAATCCAAAACTGCTGGCTCCTAACCACTCCCCTGCCTGCCTGCCTGATTGCCCCTAACTGCTTTGGTCTACCAGTCTGATTGCCCACAACTGCCCTCCCCTCCCAACCTGATCACCTCCAACTGCCTTGCCCTGAAGGCCTGGTCACCCCCAACTGCCTTCCCCTGCTGGCCTAGTCACCCTCAACTGCCCTTCTCTGCAGAACTGATCTCACCCCAACTGCCTTCCTCTGATAGCCTGGTGCTCCCCAACTCCCCTATCCTGCTGGCCTGATCACCCCCAACTGCCCTCCCCTGCTGGCCTGGTCATCCCCAACTGCCCTCCTCTGCAGAATTGATCTCACCCCCGACTGCCCTCCTTTGCCAGCCTGGTGCCCCCCAACTGCCCTCCCCTGCTGGCCTGATCACCCACAACTGTCCTCCTTTGCTAGCCATTTTGTGGTGACCACTTGTGGTGGCCATCTTGCGGCAATCATCTTGTGACGATGTTGTGTGTCACCACCTACGCTTTTTTTATATAGGATTGGCTTTCATATAATCTGTTTAACTCCAGAGCAGAAATGCCTTTTTAGCCAATCTAAATATCTAAATGAGATATGAAGTTCAAACCTTGGAATTTGATATGAAAAAAATTATTTTCCAAGCTAAAGAAAAGATAATGGCTTCAGACATTAATAATAACGGACTGATGGTTGTGCTTTCCAAGTTTCCATTACTTCTAGCTATTACTTAATGCTTTAATCAAAAGTATTATAATGGCCGGGACCGGTTTGGCTCAGTGGATAGAGCGTTGGCCTGCGGACTGAAAGGTCCCGGGTTAGATTCCAGGCAAGGGCATGTACCTTGGTTGCGGGCACATCCCCAGTAGGGGGTGTGCAAGAGGCAGCTGATCGATGATTCTCTCTCATCAATATTTCTAACTCTCTATCTCTCTCTTCCTCTCTCTGAAAAATCAATAAAATATATTTTTTTTAAAAAGTATTATAATTTGACTATTTCAGAAACATCCTCATTCTGTCCTGAGAGCTATATTTTTATACACCTTAAACTCTTGAAATATAGCACCATATTTTTCTTCAGGACACTTAATTGCCTATATTGTCACAAAACTCTTTTGAATCAAAACTATTCAATTATACCTAAAGTCTAAATTTTTTATATGTGCTTGATGCTTTCTTTAATTACATAGATACTTCTTCAGACTCTACCATGATGTAGAGATTGTTCTGGTGGTTGAGCCATCAGCAGTTATGAAGACCATGAAAGTCACTGCCATCATTGAGCTTATAGTCTAGTGCAGTGGTCTGCAAACTCATTAGTCAACAGAACCAAATATCAATGGAACAACAATTGAAATTTCTTTTGAAAGCCAAATTTTTTAAACTTAAATTTCTTCTAACTCCACTTTTTCAAAATAGACTCACCCAGGCCATGGTATTTTGTGGAAGAGTCACACTCAAGGGGCCAAAGAGCTGCATGTGGTTCATGAGCCTCAGTTTGCCGACCACAGGTCTAAGTGTATCAAAAAAAGAAGACACATATACATGTAATTTAAAAAGTGAGAGTACTTTAAAAAATAATAATGAAGGGTTAAGAGACACTAAGTGGTGGTGATTGGCTGTTTTGAGATGATAATCAGGAAGCCCCTTTGATGAAGTGATACTTAAACAAATACTTGAAGGATGTTAAGAAGTAAAATATTCAAAGATCTAGAGAAAGAGTATTGAAGGTAGAAAGGTTCAAACATATAAAGCTCTGAAGCAGCAGTGAATTTTGCATTCAGGAGCACCAAAAGAATGTTAATGTGACTCACTCTTAGAGAGAAAGGAGGAGAGTGGAAGGTCATATTGTTACAGAAACTGAAGAACAAAGCAATACTTAGAAAGATAGAGTTACATTTATTATGCACGGGTACAGAGGAAAATGTGTCTCAAATTCTGGGCCCCAACATACAGGAATTCTCCCTATTTATATGATTTTGCCTTCTTTGTCTCCCAAATATGGAGTGTTTCCTGCCCCCTTTAGCAAGCTCTTTTTTTAAAAAAATATGTTTTATTTATTTTTTTACAGAGAGGAAGGGAGAGAAATAAAGAACCAGAAACATCGATGAAAGAGACACATCGACCATCTGCCTCCTGCACACCCTCTACCGGGGATGTGCCCACAACCAATGTACATACCCTTGACCGGAATTGAAGCTGGGACCCTTCAGTCCGCAGGCCAATGCTCTACCACTGAGCCAAACCGGCTTCAGCCTTTTAACACAAACACATTATCTTAAAGAACCCATATGTACTGGGGCCTTGAGACCTCAACCTGGTGCCAGCACTGATAACCTTGTCTGGGGACGGTTAAATTTACAGAAGCCAAATAGCAGGGTTAAAATTTCAAACAGCAGTTTTCAAGATGGATGCTTGTATGAAAAAGACAGAGACAGACCACAACATCAAGGACCTAGGATTTGAATATTATTCTAAATATAGAATATTATTCTAATTAGCATATTATGCTTTTATTATTATAGATGATATATTACCCCAAATTTAGCATCTTAACACAAACACATTATCTCACAGTTCTATGAACCAGAAGTCCCCACTATATTATTGCTCAGCTACGTAGTTCCTCTTCTTCGAGTCTCACAAGGCTGAAATTAAGGTATTGGCAGGGCTACACTCTTCATTAGAGCTCTAGGGAAAAACATTTCAAGACTCACTCATTTCTCCTACACTCCTTTCTGCCCAATTCTCCTTCGGCCACATCTCTCTGACTCCAGATAGAGAAATATTATCTACTTTTAATAAAAGTTCACATGATAAGATTAAGCCCACAAAAATAATCCAGGATAATCCCCCTATTTAATTATCTATATTTAGTAACATATGGGAACTCCCTTTGCAGAAATAGCTTAATGTTTGATTAGGTAACTATTAGATGAGATTCTTGAGGGGCACATCCTTAGAAATTTTGAAGAGACACCATTTTTAAGTAGAGATACTGAGCAGGCATGATGTATACAAGAGCAGATAAATGGAAAGACTGAGCTTAACCAGAATCCCAATTTTGCTAGGAAAGAATAACAGAAAAAATATATTGGAAAGAGGAGCCACCTTAGGAATTGTGGTTGTATATGAGCTAAACTTTTCACAAAGGCTGGTGAAAAGTTTACAAATTGTTTCTTTTTCTGCTTTTACTTTTATTAGTACTTATTTAATGCAGAATTTACTCCTGGGTCATAAATTCTTGCTTCTTCAGTTTCTTCCAGGATAACTTTTTCTTCTGTGCAGCCTCCTCTCCTGATTTAGGAACAATCTCCTCTTTTTCAGTCAAAATCATCTCCATGTGGCAAGGAGAGCCGGTGTATGAGTTAATCCACTCATGAACTCTGTAAATTCTGCATCACATCTTAGCTTTGTTCACCTGGTGAGTGCCTCTGGCACTCAACCTGTCAAAATGAACATTAAACTCAGGAATGAGAGAAGAAACTGGGAGATGGAAGCCATCCAAGCCATTCAGGTGTGCTCAATGACAAGGGAATCTACGTCTAAATCCTTAAATTCGGCATCACTCTCTCATTTTTAAGCATGTGCAGCAAAAATTCAACACTCTTTTTGGGCCACTGACCCTGTGTGCAGCCCCATTGTTTGGTCTGATCTCACCTACCAAGTCCATCATTATAACAACAAGAAGAGCACACATTGCTGCTGTAAAGTGACATCCTTCAAATGCTTGGTGGGCGTTTTGGATTTGCATACCCTTGATGGCCTGGGAAGTTTCTCAGGTATTATTAAAGTTAACAGGAAGATTTGAACTTCTTGACTTGCATGCTTTTGTGAAGTTTTCTGGATCAAGTGAATAGTGAACCATTTTGAGAGGTCACCTCAGGCCATTTACAGGAAGGATACAATTTGTATCTAATGGCAACTCAGACTTGGCTGACTGCATTTTGACTTTGAAGAATTATCAAACGTGTGAGCAAGCAGAAAAAGCAATTTGTAGACACCAAGAAAATGTGGTGTGAGTGAGTGGTGTGGCTTCTTGGTGCTTTTCTTTGTGCTCACATAGGCTCACCCAGATTTGGGGCATCTCAACAGCCAATAGAGACTAAAAAGTCCACCAGGTCATAAAATGCACAACTGACCTGGGAGGGAGGTGCAATAGCACCAAAATTTCTACTGTATTGCCATTTAAGGAATTTCTTGCTGAGCCAGTTCTTTGGCCTATTTTTGTCCTATTTTCCATGTTTTAATTATTAGTGTGGTACCAACTCTAATTAAGGTTTCTAAGCACTGAGGATGGGCATGGTCTATGAGAACATATAAGAAAAACAGAAGTAGACTATATAATCTCAGCTGAGTGAGAATGTTATGCCC